GGTAAGAAGTTTTTAGAGAAAATATTTCACGATTTTTCGCGTATTTAAATACATTGTTAATGTATTAGGATGAGAATTTGGTACTCGTTTAGAATCTATGCTCACGAGGAAGCTGATTCAACTAATACCCGCTGTTTGAGCTCATATTGAATTCACAGGCAGGTCTCAGCGAGACTAGAAAAAACTCAAAAGGGTTTGTTTTGATGGACTTTTCGCATCGAGTTGTGACAGATTTACTGGATTTTTCACCTATTTTAGATACTTCTCGAAGAACGAAATAACTCAAGCTTTAATCAAAAATTTTGCCTATAGCTATGTATCTTGACTCTTAGAATATATTAACCAGGAAAAATTCTTTCCGGATACTATTACAGTCATTATGTCGATCTATATGGAAAGTTTTAGATCGAAACTTCAATAAACCGATCGTAAATCAGCGGCAAAGTGCCATGGGCATGGACCCACTTACGCTTTTGTTAGCTGTATTTTATCAAATATATTGGAAGATACAAAAAATAATTCTCTGCAAAGTTGTAAATATTTTGCAAACTTTTAAGATACAATGAAGGCTTTTATCAAGTCTATTTTTTCGATTTTTGTCATTTCAGTGCAAAACAAGTCTCTGTCATAACTTTGCCAATTTTTGGTGGATTGATCAAAACTCTTCATTCTTACGTCCTTTGATAGAGTATAAGTTGTCACTCAAGTACTATATATTTACAGAACTTATTTGATATTCGCAGAAAACATACTTGTCTTCAAACGAATAAGAGTTTTGTGTTTCCAGGCAATTTTCTTGATACCTGTCAAGATTTACATATAGCTCAATAGTAAAATATCACACAGAAATTCTAAACATATATTCTGAGAGAGCACAGAATTCTCATTTTAATACACTACAGATGCATTTAAATACGCATAAAATAGTCAAAGATTTTGTCTAGAAACTTTTGATTCACCCGTTATAACTCGTGCTCATATTAATATCTTGATTTGCTTCTTTGTTTTGGTCTTAAAACTTCAATCAATGTTGTTCACTACGCAAACCTCTTATTTTTTGCCTACATAACTACGAGTGACAGCCATATTAAAATGATTGATTTATATATGCGGTTTCAATCGAAACTTACTGAATGAACTTTAAAATCCAGTTGCTCGGGTCAGTTATGTAAAGGATCGAAACTTCGACTTAAAACTTTGTCTGTTTTTTTGGAAGAAATATATAAGTTTCACAAAATAGTAGACTGTTGTTGAAATAGAAAAACTTACTGAAACATAGCATCAAGTTCTTGTTCTTTTTCTTTTTCTAATTTCATTTGTTGTTGAAATTGTTTAAGCATATGTAATGCATCGCGTCTTAATTGTTCTCGTTGTTCAGATTGTTCTATACGACTTTCTTCATCTGCTTCAGCTATTGATGCAAGAATTTTCATATCTAATTCCTATAAATGTAAAAAAACAAGGAATAAAGCATTTTAAATGAAAGAATAAATAATTAAATCTAACAAACCAATTGTTCTTGAATTTCTTTAGCTCGTTTATGTAATTTAGCTTTATGTTGACGTAAAAGTTGACGACTTTAAATCAAAAAAAAAAAAGTATGAGCAAATATAGAAAGAGAATTTAATAAAAACTATACCCATAATCTTGTTGAATATAACGTTTTTCCATTTGTTTTCTTTCTTCTTCATATTGATCTAATTCCCATTGTTCACGAAGAAGACGTTCTTCTTCTTGTTTTAACATTTCAGACTAAATCAACATATGAAATTATACAATGGATATGTTTTTATGTTCTATACTAAAATGCTTTTAAAACTAATGAATTGAGTAACAGAAAACTTAATATATTGGCAAAATCGGCGCAAACGCGACATAATTATCTTCGATTTGACTTTGATTATTTATAATTGCTTTTGTTTTTTTAACAATTTCTTCTCTAATGAATATATATAAAAACGAAGCCATAGGCTATATCTATGGTAAAATCTTCTGGAAGATCGTACTCAAAATATTATCTTTCCGAAATCGGTTTTCCAGAGATCTCTTCTTGTCCTGTCACGAGACTCTTTGTTTTAAAATCATTCTCGCGATACCCAAGAAAGATTTATACCATTTAGAATTACTTTTTAAAATTCTCAGTCAGCGACGAAAGGAATTTTCATTCCTTTGTAGAGAAATTTGAAAACATCGAGTTAATATCAGAATTTTACTAGGACATCTGATTTAGGAATGATGAACCGACCTTTTAGAGATTCGTAAACTAAATTTGAACAAATATTTAAATAGTATATTAATGATTAATTATCTCTAAGTCATTTGTTAACCAGTGTTTTAGTAAAGGATATCATGTAAATTCAGGCAACCTTCTCGATTTCTATGGAAAATAGACTTGCAAGTTGTGTTCTACCATTCATGAATGATTAGCATCAATTTTCTCTATGCGAACTGAACTTAGAAACCTCTAAGAGGCCTACTCATAATCCCTAAAAGCATATGATGTCTTCTACAGGTGTCACCAGAAACTCAAATAAGTAGCAGCACAGGAAAAAATCGAACTTATAGAGATGTAGAAGATATTGTAGAAAAGCACACACGATCCCACACACACCCTATATTTCTTATGCTAGCACTTAATCGAGTTTCCATGGAAATTCTGAAGAAGCATCTTATCTTTTAAGCCAGAGGTCCTACAAAAATGTCGAGTCTATATTTAGAAAGAATACAAAATTGTGGAAGCTCCTTAAAAAGAGTAAAAAAATGAATGAACATTTTGTTTAATTACTTTTCAATCATCTGCTATTATATTCAGATAAATCTATGTATGATTTTCGCAAATTATTAAAAATTTTTCAATAAAATAACAAAATAATTTTCTTTTCTAAGAAATGAGATGATAAGAAAATGCCAACCTCTTCTTCTTTTTCTTTAAGTTCATCCATTTGTTGTTGTAAAATCATTTTTAATTGTTCAATTCTTTTTTTTCTTTCATTTTGTTCTTCTTGTTCTAATTTTTCTTGTTCATCTAAACGTTGACGTAGTTCTTGTTGATATTTAAAATTAAATTCTTCTTCTTCTTCTTGTGCTAAACGTCTTTCATTAAGTTGTTCTGACCAATATTCAGGTTGTAAATTTTCTAATTTTTGTTGTTCAATTGAACGTAAATCAGGATCATTTGTAACCCAATGTTCATATAATTTTTCATTAGCTACAGCTTGACGTTCTTTTTCACGAGCTGAACGAAGAGATTCTGCACGCACTTTCATGTCAGGAACTGATTCACGGGACGATTGACGAATCGATGCTAGTTCATTCTAAAATATTTTACAAAAACAAAAAAACAAAAAAAGGATTTTTTTTTTATTTTATTCTTTTAACAAAAACAAAACATGTAGAAACCTGAAATTTGTTTTTTTCAGCTTCTAAAATAGCAGCAAGACGATTACGACGTTGTTCAAGATGATTTAATTTTTCTTCTTTTTCTTGTTGAACACGATTTGCTTCATGACTTTAAAAATTCATTAAAGATAAACAAAAAATAAATAAATATTCAATGTTATTTTACCTAATCACAGCTGAAGTAGGTGATGTCCAGTGACTGTGTACAGAATTGTGACGGGTTTGTGCTTTGAAATAATTAGCTGTTTGAGCCCATTGAGCTCTGAAAAATAAATGATTGATTATATTGGAAATGTGATTTTATTTTTACTTTTTTTCGGCTTCAATTTCTTGTTTTCTTTGCATTATTTGTTGAGGTGTTGCTAGATGTTTAGTCGCATATTGTGAATGTAATGTCGGAAGTACCATTTTTAATTTTACCAATATGCCTGACTAAACGATTAAGTTAAACAATTATTCAATGATAGATTCAGATTGGATCTGAAACCATGAAGCTCTGTTAATCTATGGTATTTGCCTTTATAAATGAATTTTGTTTTTCTTTTCGATCAAATGATTTAAGAAAAATATATTTAGAAACTAGCACGTTTATTTTCCTTGTTTTTATTCAATTGAGTAAATTAATTTACTTATATAAGAAATAGATGGCACTAGTGTATTATTTGCTTAACTAATATTTTTCTAACAGCTTTTTGAAATTAATAATTAAAGACAATGAAATTTATTCGAAACACTTATTTGATTAATAGAGACGTTATAAAGCTTTATTTATGTGAAACATAATCTAAAAGGAATGTTGAAGTATAAGAGCTAAAATTTGGACTTTCCAAAAGACCATGACAGAGATAACCATGGAAACGACAAAAACCGTGACAAACTTTATTGATCTATGATCACAGACCATATATCAATAACGTCTCATTATAATATACCAACTACTTTTTTGCATTTTTGGACGACTAAGTAAAAAGATGTTGAAGAAATATGTTCGCAAATAGATGAAATGAAACAACATCCTTGTGACTAGCAACAGTAGGTAAATCATTTTTCACATTTTTATCTCACAAATATTGTGCTAAGAGATTTCTAATAAATTTCTCTGGATCTCTAGTCATTTAAGTACTTTAGATTCCATCTGAATAATCAACATTGATTTCAAGCAGCTAACATTTAGTAAGGAGAAGAACAACATATTTTCTTTTGAACACAATGCAAACAAAAAAAACTTATTCACCATGAGAATGATGTCTTGTTTGTAATATGTATCAAACATTGTTTTTTTTTAGTATTAGCGTCATTAGATATGTTTATAGTTATTATAGTCTTCTATAGAAAGTATCATTTTTGAGGATTTTGTTTTGATTTTCAAAGCAAATGTTTGTTTAAGTCTTTTATATTTACAAGTAAAAAAATACTATTTGTAATATTATCAAGATTGAACACATATTCAAATAAGAAAAGTGAACGAATAATAATCGATTATCCAATAGCTAATTATATTAGAAACTAAATCATACATTTTAAATAGCAAAAATACATCAATTTTCATAGTAAAAACAGGTCTTTTGCTTCTTATTATAGTTGATGAGTAAAACAAAAAGCTATACAGATTCGTATGCTTTTGGCGATGATGATGTTCCTTGACCACAATTACGAAAAAAACTCCAAGCGAATTTGCAACCATTAATAAACAATCCACATATAAGTAGCCAAAAACTTAGATTTGGTATAAGTGCTAAGCCTGTTTGGTTTTGTTTAAATCGATTATATAAAATTCCAGTAACCAAATAGATCATAATTAAAACAAACAATATAATAATAAAAATAGTTCCACCTGTAATACCTCGTTTAAGAGGGCAAGCTTCAGCTGCTTTTATTGTGATCGTAAATTGACATATAGGATCTTCAATTACATTCATTTTTGTCGGTTGTTTAACATTTTCGTCACAAATAAATGTAACTTTAACAAGACGCTAACGAGTATTACATAAAGCATTACGCATAGTCATAACGATTCCAGTTCCTGGTCCTTGAGGATTTTCGTTAAATTCAATATTAGGTAACTTTTTATATCCATCAAGAAAGCCCATGGCTGATTCAAATTTCGTTTGTGAAATTCTTTCTTGACATGCAGTCATACCTGGTTAAAATGGCATTGAGTTCAATCCACATTTATCTGTTGGTACTAGACCACAAGGAGTAAAGGCATATCGAAATAATTTTTCTTCACCAATAATTATTAAATGACTTAATTGATTAAGATCATATTTATTCGAACCAAATGTTTGACGACATGTTTCAAGTGAACTATCAATTTGTATAACATTAAATCAAATAAGAATTAAGTAAAACAAACTCATCCTTGATAATTGTGAGACACAAACAAATGATAAAAAGTGTGCCTAAAGAGATAACATGTTTTTCTTCACATTATTTATCATTTATGATACTAAGTGCATTAGTAATTTATTTTGGTTTGTTTTTCTTTTTCAAGTTAGCCCATAAATCTTTATTCACAACTTTTTTTTCCTTTTTTTCTTCTTAATACAAACGCATCTATTTCAATTTCATTTCATATTCAATTGAAATGTAAGTAATACAATTATAAAAACAAAAAAGAAAACGAAATAAAACAAAATGAAAAAAAAAAACAGAAAACAAACTCATAATACTGAAATATAATATAGATGAATAATTAAAATTGTTGTCGATATTTATTAGTTGATATAATTGATATATCATTACTGTTCTGAAAAGATTTTTGTTGTTGTTCATATTCAAATTTAAGTTGAGCTAATATATGTTCATCATTTGGTTTATTAACATAAATAGATAAATAATTAAATAATTTTTGTATTAATTGATCATTTGCACGAATTTGTTTTAATTGATTTGTTTCATTTATTTTATATTGACGTAATTGTTCATATAAAAATTTAAGTAAATCTTCATATTCAAGTTCAACTTCATTCGCTAAACGTTGAGATTTTTCACAAGTTACAATTTTCGTTTGAAGTTCATCGATTGTAGCACGACATGTTGAGATTTCACGACGAAGTTCAACAATAACTTCTGAATCATTTTTATTTGAAGAATTATTTGATGAAGAATAAAATGGAACAAGAAGATTTATACGTTCTCCAAGAAGAACACTTGATTGACGTTCAAAATCTTTTAATGTTATGCGACCATCTATTCAAACAAAAGAAATTATGTAAATATAGACCTTTCTCTTTAAGACTCTTGAAAGGTATTATTTATTATTGATATTCGAGAACATTTTATCGTGTTCTTCTCTAAATATATATCTAGAATTTCAAAAATCTCTATAGGAGTAAACAGAAAGTATTTTTATTATTGAGAATATCACAAAATTCTTTAAAATATTATTAAATTTTATATAACTGACTGTTTAATATCTTTCGATTATTCATTACTCATTACTATTCGACAATAGACAGCAGCTACATTGGCTTTATGAAATCTAGATTTGATTGAATCAAATCTATTTCATAGTAATAAGTCGAAACAAAATGTTTATAAAACCATACTAGAAAACTTAGAAGTTATTAACATGTAAGACATTGAAACTACTCATGACAAAATTTCGTCAAATGATAAAATATTTTTACGGTGGATCTTATCTAATTCGGCAGATCCTATTGAGACTAAAGAAAGTTTACAATGATTCAGATCTATAGTTCTTCAATAACATATTATTATTTATCTCAGACCATCTTAAAAATGAATTTTCGAATAGAAATTTTATGCAAATGATAAAAGAATATAATACTTTTACTATGGATTAATTCCATTCAGAAATTTATTTGTGCAAAGTTTGAATTTCAAAATATCATTCTAAAAGTGATCTCAGATAAATGATGATATGCTATTGAAAAACTCATTAAGATGTTCATAAGTCAAGAAGAAAGATCCATAAGACGAAGTAAAATTCATCTCAAAAATAATTTATCATTTGTCGAAATTTCCTCATCAGAAATATCTCCATTTGAATAAATGTAACTTTACGATACTAATCATGAAACCATACAAATCTATGCTTGAAATATTTGATATTTATCGTTATCAGTTCAATTTATATCTTTAAAATCTCTATTCTTTTCACTTGTGTTTATTGTCAGACAGTTACATCAATAAGTCTCTCTTTGTAAACTTCACTCAAAACCAACTTGCCGATTCGAGAATGTTTCGAGCAAGAAACCGACGGAGTGATTCCCCATGTTAAAAAGTTTTCTTTTATCTCCAGCGAACTTCCAGCATTTTATTGTTGTTCATGGATTCCCAAAAAATGTGCAAACTCAGTTAGTTTTTGCAAAAATCTTCTAATGAACCTCGTAAATTATCGATCCTCCCGTGAATTCTGATAGCCACATGACACTACTAGGCCTCTAATATTTAAAGATAACATAGCGTAAACTTTATATAATTTAACAAACGATCAACTGATTGATATTCTATCTAATTTGTTTATATAGAAAAAAAAATATCTTACCAGCATTATTCTCGGATAATTGTTCGATAAATTGTAATTCTCGTTTTTGATCATTCGAAAATAAGTTTGGATAAGTTTTTTTCATTAAATCAACAAGATCAATTAATTTAAATCTTGAATTAAGTAGCGCTTGAAGAGCATCATGTGAAACATCAAGTCCTTTTAATAATTGATTATTATCATATTGTTGTTCATTGTTGTCATCATCATATGTAAAATTATATGCACTATGACGATATTGTGGTTGTTGTTGTTGTTGTTGATTATTATTATGATGTCTTCGAGAGGATTTTCTCATACGAACTTCATTTGTCGTTATATGATTATTTCTATTTTGAGCTATATTATGATATCGATGATGATTATCATCATCATCATCATCAGTAGATTTTTCATCATGTAAAAATTTTTGATATTCAACTGATGATAATGGTGGAAAAAAATGTTTGACACGAAGTCGAACTTGATTTGTAGCAGCTGCTGAACGAAGAATATTAACAGCATGTTCACGATTAATACCAATACATGCTTCATCATTTATTGAAAGAATTTGATCGCCGATCTGAATATTTAAATAATTATTTTTTTTTTAAATAAAATCAAATTATTTCAATTTTACTTTTAATCGTCCATCTTTTTGTGCTAATCCATCATCAAGTAGTTGTCTTATATAAATACCTGATTTAGTCGAAGCTCGTTTAGCACCTAAAATTCGAATTCCAAGTCCATTTCGGCTATTTGAATATACAATTAACTCTTCTATATTTGCCATTGATAGAATAGAAAAGATCGGTGGGTGGAATAATAGAGCATAGCGCTTACAAAATTCTATGCTAATTTCAGCCTTGTATGCATGCGCACAGATGAAGAAACAGAAGAGTGAAAATGGCAACAATTGAATTGAAAATCAGTCATAGATACTTCCAAATATTTCTATAGGACATTGTTAAACACAATCAAATTTTAACTAGACAACTCCATGTATAAAAAATGGTCTATAATCATAAGGTGACATCTATAGAATAAACAAATTCTTGTCAAAAACATGAATAATTATGAATATTTTCTATGAGTTCGATTGCAAATCGTTTAAACTATTTTTGTATTATGTTGCTGTGTGAAATTATACTTTGAGAAAACTATAAATTATAAAAATATACTAGGCTTTTTTCATACGTAAGTACATGATGAGTAAAGATTGCTATGAATAATTTGAAAGCATATTAAAAATGATTTCTTTGTATGTTTCATCTGTATTATACATTCTATTCATTTCTTCATTGTTGTTTGACTAATAATGAAGTTTTCCGAGAAAAGAAAAACTTATGAATATCTATAAAGCTGTGTCAGTGAAGTTGCATATCACAGGTTATTGAAAAGTTTTTAGACAAGATGTTTATTCATTTTTGGTCTTCTAGAAAATATTGCCGACGAGTTAAAAGCTAGGAATTAGAACACTCCTATCGAACATGGGATTATGAATGTTGTCTCAATTTTTGTTCGAGAGTAGTGAAATAATCTTTGAAAAGTCCAAAGAATAAGTTTCGATGAAACAGGACGAAGGACGGTTTAGGTGCATTTCGGCCCAATAAGAAAGTGAAGGTAGAATTGTCTGAAACTTTCAGCAAATGCTCAACTATATGTTAGTAGTCATCGCTGAAAATTTCAGCTTGACCCGTTGAACTGTTCGTTTACTTCAATCCGTGAAGAACATAGACCCTAAATATACGTAAAAATGCCCTATAGGGGTAACCTTGTGGACCTTCGTTCTCCATTATTTGATTCAGACCCAGAGTGATTTTCCTAGGGTCACTAGCAATCAGTAGGGGCTACAATATTGCAAGAACATTAATTATAATGTGGAAATCGAGGAATAAGATTAAGGTTCATAAAATTTTTATTTGGATTATGCGTAAGATAAGGTAACACTGAAGATAACAAAAACAGGACTGATCATAGATGAAAGCAAAAGCAACTGAATTGAAAATGGGAAAAATCAAGGATATATATATAGGAAGAGAGAGAAAGAGGAACGATAACCATAGATTACATGAAAGAAGAAGTGAAAGACCAATCGATGGACAAAGGACAATGAACATAAAACAATAGCGATAACATAGTGTGATATGTTGACGCTAACACATGCACACTCTCTCTATAACAGCGCATTTCACACACGGTGATTGTTTACTCATTGAAATCATGCGAGGAATTATTTAGATTAACACCAACCCCCTACATTGTTCAGTCATTCCGATGGAACTTTAAGCAATTGGCGCGTTCAATCTCTCATACAACTCGTAAGCAGAATCTCAAAATATTTTATAATAATTCCTGATGTCCATACAAATCTGCTATAAGACAACGTGCATTTCTGTGTTGTATTTCAACGACTCCCATTCTGGT